TATATGAGTCACATAATGGAATGAATTAATTAAATTAATAGAAACATAGAAATATAAAATTCTAATTAGTATTTTATTACGTATATAGATTTTGCTGAAACACAACATCAAGCTTTGAAAGGAATAAGTGTGGACGTATCAGGTAAGGGGTGGGCTATATAGTAAGGATTACATCATAAACTTGTTTGACCTTATTTGTTGAATTTGTCTAAATTTGTTATGATTGATAATTTTGATTTCATTATATGTTTGGTTGTGAAAGTGATCATGAATTGTTTATGTGTATGATAGTGTAAAATACATGTTTAGTACTCTATTATGATATGTATTGTCTTTGAGTGAGCATTTATATGCATGGTGGTTTTTCATGAGAAAATTCATTGAAAATTAAATTGAAAGAATTGGATGATGGGTTGTAAACCCTTTTTGAACTGTATTGGAAGTTTTCTGCTTGTAACAGGTGATTGAAATTTTTTGGGAAGTCCGTATTACAGGGGAAAGTCTGTCAAAATTTTTGAAAAAATGTGAATTTTTAAGAAAAACCACTTAGGGACTCATACATTACTCATCTGAAAATGGTGATTTGTGAAATCTGGGGAATCAGAGATTACGGACTCTAAGAATACGATAGGGAGGCCCTGAAGGAGGACTTGAGGATATGAATGGTAGTGGTTGGAGGCCCCAAAAGACCCAGGCTCGCTACCTGTTGTCGGGGATCTCACTGTACAAACTCTCCTATACCTGACTGTGCTCTTACCGTATATCAATGATCAGTGAGCTACTGGGTTTATATTTGAGCATGGGTCTCAACAATCCCGTGAGTGGATTTTCCATGCCTAGTAGTGTCAACTCCTAGCTACCCCAGTACTGATTTGAGAAATGATTTGGGCCCGCATGCATAAACATTTTAGAAAAACATATTAGAATCATGCATCATTAACATCAATCATTTGAAATTTAATTGACTTATGAATGTTTATGATGTTTGATTTTAAGATGATGTATGAATTGTTGCTCATCCTCTTGTCTTTCTGTTTTCTTTATTTCCTTTGTACTTACAGTACTCGTTGGACCTGATCGGTCATTGTTTGAAGAGAGGGAAGATGACAACGATTCCACACCCGATGAATATGACACTCATACTCATTAGCTGGGAGCCACAACGATGGCAACATGTATTGGGATAAACATATCCAAACTTTTATAGACAGTCTTTTGTAGTATATAGACCTACATGGTACTGGGTAGTAGTCACTCTTTTGTGTAGTTAGCTGCTCTGTAGGAAGTATCCCCAATGTTACCCTTAATATTTTGAAGGAATGTACTACTATTTTATTTATATGTAATTATGAATGTTTACTTTTAGTACTTTTTAAAATGATGAAATGCAGGAATGGGTTATTGAAAATTTATATATTAATATTATCTACGAGGGAAAGATTATTATTGGTTTAAAAAAAATTCTACTAAAAATTATTATTTCTTCTGATTGAGGGTTTATAAGATAAGGTGTTACAATATCTGGATACAAGAGCAAAGATCATAATTGTGAAGTAATTGAAGAAAAATTGAAAGAAAGAAGAATGCTTGAGCGAATGAATGATGCGAGATCCGACCCAAATTTTTCTATAAAAAGATAAGACGCGTTTTGAGATAAAATTTTTAGGTTTTCAGAGAAGAGGCGCGACTGTTGTTCTGTTCTTCAAGGATTCTTTAATTCTTCCTCATTTAGAGCATTATAATGGCCACCATGAGTGGCTAACTTCATTCTCTTAAGATTGGATGCACTTCCTTGGAACTCTTTTGTATCATGGTGATATTTTGATATATGAATCTATGTTTGTTATGTTCTAATCTTTTGTGCCTTGGAATGATTTATTCTTGATGTTTGGGATATGATTGGAAAATATATCTTAAAACCTTAGATTAGGTAAGAATATTTGTTATGTTAATTACCAGGAATGGAATGAATGTATAAAGTGTTTTACATCCTAAACCTAATGCTGGAAAATCTTTTAACTGTGAGGAATCGACGTTTATCAGGTTTTCTTATGAATTTCACATGCGAGAAATCAAAGTGGATGATTTGAGTAGGTGGCACCAACATTGATAGGTTAATTGATGTTCTAAATTTGACCTAACCATTATGCAAAAGAGGGAAAATGAAGGAAGTCAATCCTAAGTTCTTTTATTTGATATTTTCTAAACGCACTTTTAGTTCTTTGTCATTTATTTTCAACTCTAATCTTTATGAAAAACCCAATTTGCTTTATCCCACTTAGTAAGCATATGATTTGGAATTTTTCGTCAAACCGTTCCTCATGGGATCAACTTTTATTTAATCGAAATATTATACTACGATTGATAATTTTGGTACGCTTGTTAAATATTCAACAATAATCAAAGATTCAAATAATGAAGAAAAATATAGAACGCTAAATCAAATGCTGAATTAGGGTTGTGTTAGATTATAATTCAACAATTATGATGTAACAATTAGTTTCAATTAGGTTGGTTAGCCTAACTAACTTTAGTTCCTATTATAAATATTGTATCTCTACAATATTTGTTAGTTTTTGTATGAACCAGTTTATTGTGAACATGGTTTTCTTTTCATTACCTCTCTCTCGATACTAGGATGATAATTAAACTCATACTCACGGGGACCAATGCGTCCCTGTCTCAAGTTTGATGGAAAAAAACTGAGTTGACCAAGGATGAGGGCGGGAGCGGGATCCGGTTTTTCCTACTTTTGGGACGGAGACAAGGATGAGTGATGTAATTCCCACCCTGGTCTCGTCTCCATCTTTGCGTACCTTGCCTTTATATTTAAATTTAAATCCTAAAATTTTAATATTTTTAAAATATTTCATTTTCTTTCTCACATTATATATATAAGGTCATTTTTTTTATATTTTATCATTTTTACTTTTCTTTTGTCTATTTTTCATTCTTTTGTCATTTTCAATTTTTAGATTAATCAGTTCATTATATTATTTTTTTTCTTATTTTGGTTTTTTTATATTTTCTTAATATCTTTAATCAATTTGATTTTTCCAATCTTTTTAATAAATTTGACAAATATAATGTTAATTTTTCTTCTTCTTTGTCTTTTTCTAAATATTTAACATCAATCTTAATAATAACTAATATTATTTTATTTCTAATTTATCTCTATTAAATTTTATTATGTTATATTTTTTATATTTTATTATTCATATTTGTTATATATTAAATTTTTTTAATAAAATAATTATATTTTAAAGGATTAAAAAGAATAAATAACTAAATTTTTATCTCTTTGAACTAATTAAATAAAATTCTCATAAACTATATATTTCATATTTATTTTTAAATGATAATTTAAAAAATAATTGACTTATATATGTAGTTAAATATTTAAATATGATCTTATAATATAATAATAATAATAATAATAATAATAATAATATTATAATGAGTATTTTATATCCATAATAAGAAAACATATTTAAATATTTCTTTTATATATATATATATATATATATATATATATATATATATATTTTAATATAAATATCATAAATTAAATTTTATATTTAATTAATAATAATTAAAATTATAAATATTTATTTTTATATAAAAAATATATTAAAATATTAAAATTAATTTATTATAAATATAATTATTTTTTAGAAATAACGTGTAATGAGAACGAGTTAGAGACGAAAAAACCAAAATCCAACCAAATTCTAACCTCAAGTGAAATGAAGAATAGAGACGGTTAAAAAATTTGAAAAAAGGGGTCAGGTGGCAAAACCATAATTTTTAGTATAATTGGTCGATAATTAAATTTGTTATTGATCTAATAAAAGAATTAGTGGAATTAATTTTTAAAATAATATTTTATTTTAAGAAATTAACATTTTAGTAAGATTTAATTCCTAAGTTATTAATAAAACTATATACTTAATATTTTATTTTAATTTAGTAAGATTTTATCCTAAATATAATCTTGAAAGTTGTATTATAATTTAAATTAAGGATGTTCACAATCAAACTAATTTTAAAAAAATTTGATTAAAATTATTTTTTTAATTTGATGTATTGTTTTTCAGAAATCAAATCGAATCAAAATTAATATATATATATATATATATATATATATATATATATTGTTAAAATTAAAATATAAAATTATATTTATTATAAATAAATAAAGTATTTTCTTATAATTTAAAAGATAATAAAGTATTTAAGTTAAATGTAAAAAGATATATAAATAAATTAAAATTATAAATATTATAAATAATTATAAATAATAATTTTTTAAAATTTAATAAATATTTTATCATGTTTAATAATTTTATTAAATAAAAATAATAAAATATCTAAATTACATTATAAAATATTGGTTTAATTTGATTTTGATTTATTTTAATAAAAATCAAACCAAACTAAATAGTGTTTAAATTTTTTTATAGTAAATTTTTAGTATAAAATTGAATCAAATGGCAAATTACTCCTAATTTTATGTCCTATATTTTATTATAATTTTTTCATTTTTTTCTTAATTTATTTTGATATTATTTTCTTTAACTTGTGAAATATTATTACTTTAAATTTTTAATAATTATATAATATTGCATCCTAATATAAAACATTTATTAGAATTTTTTAAAAATATTTTTTATTAAAACTTAATTAAAAACCATCTATTGAGAGCATAAGACAATTTGAAGAAAAAAGTTTAACAGAATGAGAAAAAAATACAAGTTATCATCCCCAAGAGGGTTAATTGCGGAGACAAAAAAGAATGAAATTTATAACTAGAAATGGTACCAAAATATCCTACATGTTTTAAGCTAGAGTGAGAGAATTTTTCTTATGAAACTCATCATACTTACATTTATAAAGTACAACCATCAAATTGGTTGGTGATGCACACAAAAGATAGATACAAACGACATTATAAGATTAAAAAGAAAATAAAAACAAGGGAAAGTATAAAGAATGTTTGACTATCTCTTTTGGAAGTTAAAGGTCTTGATTGCAACAGCAAAAGTAACTGCAAAGAGAACTGCAAAGCCAGCAACCACAACAGCGGCAACTCCGATGAAGTCATGTTTAACACCATAACTGTCTTCTATGAAAGCTTTCACTGTCTTCCCATTTTCAGACGACATTCCCTCCATTATATCTCCAAACTGAGATCCGACCAATCCATATAAGGTCCATGCCACTGGGCAAGCCCAATAATACCATCTCCACCACACTGGGATGCTCTGTTCAAAATCCAAAACAACGTTATTATTATCATCATCATTATTATTATTATTCATTAACATCCATTAAAACCATACCACATGCGTATGATTATTCACAATCTATTTTATTTATTCGAAGGCAGGGTGGCAACAAACAACTTACAGGTCTTGCGACGACAAATCCTGAGAAGAGATTCCAAATTGCATAAAATGCAGCAGCCACGATGGAAGCAACATGGTGGTTTGGTGTCACTGCCACAGCCATCATGCCGTAGAAGGTGAAGTACAACAGTGTGAAGTACATGAAAAATAGATACCAAAAGAATTTCTCTGCAGTCCACTCAAATCCGATCATGGCATAAACTATTACACCGTATGTCACCGCTTGAAAAAAGATATAGGGTAGCTCTACCAGAATCTGTCACAAAAGGTACCCAGTTTGTTTGTTTGTTAACATAACATGATCAATGTTTATACATGTATGCGTGCGAACTAAAGTACTAGAAGGTAATGTCTATAAAATAAATAAATAGTTTTAACGATGATGTTTTGTTAGTTACCTGTGAAAATGCATAGGGTAATGCAGAATACATTCCGGCGGCTTTTTCTCTGTAAAAGACAGTCCTTTCAACTGCCACCACTGGCTGGACGGAGGAAGAATTTTGAACTCCAAGAAAGAGAACAGCAGAATACATTGAACCTAAAGCATTCATCAGGTCTCCTCTTGTTGAGCTGTAAAAGCACCACACGGAATCAGAACTCAACTCATTCACTATATGTGTATTATGCGCTTTTCTTTTTGGTGAGTAATAATAGGAATTCATTTGACTTACTGTTTGCCTCCGAGGTCCCAGAACATCGTTCCAAACATTATTGCTATGAAAGTAGTGAAGAAAAACCTCACAGAAGTGTATGGTGGATTACGCCAATATGACCAACGTTGTTTCCATAGGCAAGCTTGGCATTGGACCAAGAATGACTGAGAGTATTGAGTAGGGAAATAAAGATCCTTTGAACCGGGTGCAGGCTGACTCAGTTCTTGTATAAGCTGCTTGTTTCTCCTGAAAAGTCATGAAAAACTCTATTAAGCATTTTCAAAATGAAAAAAACTACAGAGTTAGTAAATTCATATCCATATGCATTGACCTACCTATATAGATCAGAGTTCTTGTACAGGTCAGTGAAATCAACACCCAAACTAAGTTCTTGTGCGGTGGTTGTAACCTCCAACATCCAAGTAGCCGGGTTATATCCGTCCTTGATTTTGCTCACCCCGTCAATGCTCTGGACAGTGTAAATTATTGGATGAATTTACTGTTTATTGTCAAGAATTTGATAAATAATATTGAAGTAAAGAATGATCTTACCTCAAAATACTTGATCAGATGGCTAGAATGACGACCCAGTGGCCCCACATATATTTCCTGTCCACCACGCTTCATTAAGAATAGCTGGAATCACACAAAAAGATATCATGTTAGATTCAAGCGTGCGGGGAAAGAAACCAAGTAAGACACGTTCATTTATCATTGCCATCACTCACCTCATCAAATGCTTCAAATATGTCAATGCTGGGCTGATGGATGGTGCACACAACAGTTCTTCCAGTGTCGACAGTGTTCCTGACTGTTCTCATGACAATAGCAGCAGCTCTTGCATCCAACCCAGAAGTAGGCTCATCCATGAAAATTATGGACGGGTTAGCCACCAATTCAACCGCAATAGTCAGCCTCTTTCTCTGTTCAGTAGAGAGACCACTCACACCAGGCAGTCCAACCAGCGAGTTCCTTAATGGGTTCAGTTCCACCAGTTCCATGACTTCCTCAATGAACATCTGCAACCATTTGTCAAATAAAAAATGTTTGAACAATCAGCCTCTAAGACGAGAAATCCAGCTACCTCAATAAACGACTTAAACTTAAAACGTTTTATTGTTCTTAGGCCTAACTAACTAACCTCTCTGGTTTTGGAATCAACACTTGAAGGTAAACGAAGCCATGCTGAGTAGAGGAGTGATTCGTAAACTGTAACATGAGGTGAGTGGATATCATTTTGCTCACAGTATCCAGAGATACGAGCAAATGTCTCTTGCTTCTTAGGGTACCCAGAAATTTTGATGCTTCCTTCAATGTATCCACCGGTTTTCCTACCAGCCAAAACATCCATCAAAGTAGTTTTACCAGCACCACTTACACCCATCAAAGCAGTGAGAACACCAGGCCTAAATGCACCACTAACACCCTTCAAAAGCACCAGTTTGTCCTCTTGTACACCTTGTTCCTTCATTTCCTGCCAGTAGAAATCAAGGGAGTTAGAAATCCAATTTTTTTTCTGGCTAAAGAAGTGTTGAATTTATAACTTGGAATGTGATTTACCTGTGGCATGTCAACAGAGTATACGATTTCATCAAAGGTGATAGAATGTGGTTCAAAAGGAAGAACCATTCCTTTTTTCTTTCCATGGCTGGAATCTACAACAGAACCACCTCTTCCTGAACTTTCTGCAAGACATTTCAAATAAATGTCAATATCTTGGAATATACTACGAATTGCTTCTGATAAAGGAGTATGCTGGCCGTTGAGTGTTTAATATGAGTTATATATAAGAAACATAGTTCACCTATGCGTGGTAATTCAACTTCTGCTGCTGTTCCATCATCAGCCGGTTCTTCGGCTATTACTGCTTGTGGCTTATCAAATGCTGCATGCACATTCAGATGCATACTTATTAATAAAACCTTGAATTACATTTACGAGAGATTTTGAAAGGATAAATGATGTGAAAAATACTCACGGCCAAGGTATTCAAGAGCAAAACCAAAAACTATGTTGAAAAGAAACACAAATCCAACCAGTGCCCCAAAGCCTAGCCAATACCAATATGAATCTTTGAAGAACGCGCGAGAGTCCAGATATTCAACTCCTAAATTGTGGGTAGCCTGTAATCAGATAGCCAAGAAATTAGAATCCCGCTTTTCTTAACCAAAGAAGTATACGAATTCATAGGTTGGGAGGTCAAAAAATTACGTTGTGCCAACTGTTCCCAAGATATTCATTGCCCATCAAAGCATTCTGCCCATACATCAGAGGTGAAATCCAGAAACCCCAAATCCACCACTTTTTGATATCCCCTGTTTCATTGGAAAAATGGAATGAAAAAGAATCAGCTTAGGTTTTCTCATTATTAGAAATGCAACAAATTTTTTTATCGCATGTTTGTGTTAATTGAACTTACTTTTCGACAAAACGAATCCACCCAATGTAAGAAGCGTGACGACAGCAAAGGATCCAAAAGTGTTGGCGACAATCATGTTTCTACCCAGTGCTGCAATGGCTCGGAATAATCCAGAAGCCATCTGACTAATAAATAATAGGATGAGGTACTGCTTGAAGAGCCTGCACCAAATGCAGTAATTCACGTCATAAGTAACATGCGAATTAGAAGAAGAAGCAACATTCAAAAGATCCTAACTATTCAAACCAGTTTTTTTACCTCCCAACATTTGGATCAAATCCAATAACATAGTAGGTGAGGAATACCCAAAGAGCAACTTCGGCTATTGTAATTGGAATCTTGAGAATCCACGAAGGAATAGCATATGCCCATGAGGGAAAAAATAGAAGATCCCGTTGCTTGTAGAAAACAGGAAGCTTAGCAATGGTCATGGAAATCTCGGCCATTCCATTGAACATAACCGTTACTATTGTAAAAAATATAGCACCAGCATAAACACCCGCATCATCTAGACTATCACGGTGCATCTCCGTTCGGAAAAACAGTGTCAATGCAATTAACGCCATGATGAAAAGCTGAAAAGCATCAAGAGCAAAATGGTAAGTAAACATGGTCATCATGTACATGTAAATGAACTATGCTGTATAGTTTTTCTTGACACAAAAAAAGGTAGAAGTCTAGCACCAACCTGACATAGCTTGAAGATGTAAACAAATGAATTCCTTTTCATAAGCAAATACTCCCTTGAGAAGTTAGCCTTTAACAGCTCCTTCTTGTTGATGCCATACTGTTTGGTGGTTAATGCAGCAGGGTGGCTCTTAGTCCTGTCAAAGGGAACTGCAAGCTCCTCTCCAAGTTTCCTACCAATATGGAATGATTGAAATGCCTCGGCAAATTGAGTAACTGTCACAAATCTGTATGGTTGATCTCTGCGCACCCAGTACTGTGCTTGATCTTTTTTGGATGTCACTTCTTGAAGGAAGTCTGCGACACCTTTCCTCTCAGGACATCTGAAACCCATGGATTCAAAGAAGTCCAGAACATATTCACGAGGGCCATGGTAAACAACTTGGCCATCAGAGATTAAGATAATGTCGTCGAAAAGGTCGTAAGTCTCGGGTGCTGGCTGGAGCAAAGATATGACAGCTGTTCCATTCAGAATGTGGACATATTGCCTGAGAGAGCTGACAATCTGAAATGTTGTGGAACTGTCCAACCCTGTGGAGATTTCATCCATGAATAAAGCATTTGCTGGTCCAACCAACATCTCTCCTGTAGTAACACGCTTCCTTTGTCCTCCAGAGATCCCACGCAACATTTCATCCCCCACCATAGTGTCAGCACAAATATCCAACCCCAGAATCTGCAAAGTTATACATTTAATTAGTTCAATATCTTGGCTTTTACGGCAAACTCTAGCACATTTCATCACATAATTCAACTGAACCTTTTTTTTTGCATTACCTTCATTGTATAATCTGTCACTATGCTTGACTCCTGGCCTGCAGTTGCGGTTGCCTGTTATATCAAAAGATAATCAGATGCAATGCAAAGATGGTATTTATATAATTTTATTTGGTTTTCTTGTTTTACTGAGAAAAATATTAATAAGAGCTTCTTTCGGTGACCTTCATGTAGACATCAAGATCTGGGTCAGGCTTGATATTTGCTGCTTTCTCTCTTCTAGACAACTCAGATAGCATTTCTGTGGATTCAAAAATTAAATGACCAGTCATGCTTAGTTAGGCTGCATACATGTTAAATTAGATATTGAAAAGGTTAAAGAGGTGGTAAAGTGGGACTAACCATAACGTGATCCAACTCCTTGGCACCTTGCAGAGAAAGCCAAGGTTTCCCTCACGGTCATTTCTCCAATATGAACATCATGCTGGCTGATGTAAGCAGCAGTTCTCTGGGGTACAAACTCGTTCAATTCATGCCCATTGTAAGTCACTTTTCCAGACACCTGAACAACAACGCATTGGTATCCATATTAGTTTTTATTTCTCCTTTTATTTTTAATGAAAATTTGTTACTGAATATACTGAAAAGAAATGTGTTTAACCTGAAGACTTTTATCAAGCTTTCCTGACAAGGCCAAGAGGAGTGTGGTCTTTCCTGAACTTGGGGGACCCAAAAGTAGTGTCATCCTGCGAGGTTTAATAATCCCGCTGACATCTTTGAGAATAGTCACGTGTTTCTTTCTGCTTGGGATAATATGGAGCATATTGAAAAATCCCTGCAAGACCAAATAGAGAAAAACCGTGTTGAGAGACTCGTGGGACAAGAAAACAGAACAAAGAAACCAAAATTATAGGAAATGGAAGCAGTCATCCCGTACCTCTATGACGTTAGTAGCAGAGTTGATGAAAGAGGGCAAAGCTCTGCTTCCCACAAAAGCCTCTGCCTCAATCTTGAGGTGCTCATATCGAACTTCAATAGTTGGAATATCGAGTCCAACTCTGTGGAAAGCAGCAAGAGAAAACATGAGACTCGAAAAAGGGTTGTTTATTAGTTACTAAAACAATAGTTATGTTATGAAGAGGTTGTGATGAAGAGGGTAATATACCTGTCAATACGTTCCTTGAGCTTCAACAAGAACCTCTCGTTGTCCTCTTCAGCCACTTTGACCAACCTCTCGAGAAGTTTCTGTCTCTCTTGGGAGCCAATATCAGCAACATCGATTTCGTTGGCAACTCCATGGGATGCTGTCAACAAGCCTTTCCTGAGACGGTTGTAGGTGGGGAGCTTCTCAAGAGCAGCCCATTTGAGAGCTTCTTCGTCATCCTCTTCACGAGAAGACCTTGAGAATACCTCCACGCTGCTGTTCCTCCAAACCGTTGAACTTCTCGCTCGCATACTGTTACTCACTTTGTATATATCGCTTCCCTCCATTCTGCCAAACTCTTGCGGTCACCCGCCACACCACCACCTTGTTTCTTCTCCGTCAAGGTAGGTAACGAAACCGAACAACACCCAGAGACAGTACTGTTTGTGGTGAATTCAAAAGAATGAAAGAATTAGAAGAAAACTGAGTGTGAATCGCGGTGGTTTGTCTTTGTGACGTTGGCCTGGAATGAGTAGTAAGGAATGGAAAAACCATATCTCTCTATTTATACTCTTGACGCCAAGAACAGGTGGCGATATTCATATTCAATTGTCAAACTTTCAAATTTAATACTCCCAATTATACCACCTTTTCTTTTTTGCTTTTTCATTTTCATTAGTACAAGAGAACATTCAAATAACACACGCGAAATTACAACCAACAGCTAATCTCCTCGTTATCTCTTCTAATTAAATACTACTTTGTCTGTCTACTCTTATTAAATGTCGTGTTACTTTAATATACAATAATAAATATCATATTTTATAATTTATTTCTCATTAAATACTCACTCTTCCTTTATATAAATCATAATAAACAATTATTATAAAATATAATAAATGTAATTTAATTAACAATATGTAAAATCGATCCTCGTAAAACATATCCTTCTAGAACTAGAAACAGGTACATCAAATTTTGGGTTCAAGTTCTACGTTATATTCGAAAAGGACGAGTGACTGTAAATATAATTAAACTCTAGATTAAAGATTAGTTTATGGTAGTTGAGTCCAAGAATAAAGCACTAAAGGTCCCAATGTTACCAAAAAATATTATTATACAAAACATTATTCAACTATTAATTACAGTCTTATTTAGCTACAAACGTGAAATACACGGGTCATGGTTCTCATGAACTGTAACTTTCACACCATGTATTTATTTATCAGTTAACAGAGAATCGTAAAACCCACGCTTCCAGAAAATATATAAAAAATAAAATCAATTTTTTTATCATATTTAGTTATCACTTTTTTTATTAATGATGTCTTGATAAACAGAAATCAATTTAATAATTAACTAAAATAGTTTACATGTTAAAAAAAAAGGACAATATCGTAATTATTGGATTAAGAAAAGGCGGCTAATCCCACTCGTCCTTGTTGGAAGAATGATTAATGTGATGATAACAGGAATTAACAATGTTAATCATAATTAAGCAAAAATAATTGAGTAAGAATAATAAAATAACAAAGCTAAAAACAAACGAATGTCAATCAAAAGATTAGGATTATCCAAAAAGAAAAAATCTTGTGAAGACTTTGGATCCTGAATTTATGGCTGTACTCAGAGTACTGGGGGTAAGATATCAAGACATGACATGACACCATATTAAAATCAATAAATTTGTGAAAATTAAAAGAAAAATAGTAAAATCCCCAAATAAATTACATCATCAAGAACGTAAGTCGCGGAAATTCCCATTTTTTAATTTTAATTTGTAGAAAAAAATCCCTGAAAGTTTGAATCTTTTTGAGTCTTCATTTCCGAAATATTAGCCAGTAGACGCTATCAAAGCCTTGAAATGTTGACTTTCTAGATAAAAAAAAATTGATATAACAACGGTCACTAAAATTGATCGTTTCTTCTCTTAGTTGAAAAACGTTGGTCCTTTGAATTTTTAATGCTCGAAAAACCCTCTCTTGTAATCAAGACAAGTGTTACTCTTTTAATAAAATAAAGATTTATTAGAAAAATATAATAATAGTTCTTTTTCTGTCGTGGTGGTGAAACGTGAACGAGGCTATCTAGAACCCGTTGGTGTTCATGAATCTTGTGATCATGGCATAGCATCAATGCACACCATATTCTGTGTGTGTTTGTGTTTTAAAATTGTTTATGAAATAAAAGTTTAAGCAAGTTGTAAAAGGCTTCTAGATGGAATAAAGTAGCCTATGCATAAAGCAAAGCAGCCAACAAGTTTGTTTGTTTAGAAAATTTGGATGAAGACGAAACCTCAAGTTACCATTTATCATGCCATCGTAAAATCAATCAAAATTTGTTTGATGTTGGACTCGTTCTCTTTTGTCGCTTTCCCATCTAAATTCATTATTCGGATCGGATTCGGTGGCTTGACCAGTGACCATGTTCCTATTTTAAATCGTCCTTTACTTCTAGATGGTTTTTTTTATTCCTTCAAAAAAAAAAACATGTATTCATTAATTTGGTAGTTGGTCCTCATTATTTTGTACTCCTCAGTTTTAAAATTTTTATTCAACCATTCTATAATTCTGCACACGTTGAATAATCATGTTTCTAGTATTTTTTTAGTATACCCCAAAGGAGACTAGACTATATCCTGGAAGACATTATGAATGACTAAGGTGGGGTGGGGAAAGTTCTAGGAAGAAATTTGTCCACAGTGTCTTTGCCACCTCTTTTGAACCTTTTTCAAAGACTCGTGATGCAAGTTTGGCATTGTAATTTGCAACGTGCTGATTTTTGCAACTTGGAATTTGTAATTTTATTTTGTTATTCAGAGTATTTTTAACTTATTCTTTACCTGATAAGTATCACCAAAACCACTCCCCACCCAAATAAAAGCTTCATTGTATACTGTATTAGATAACAATAACAACAATGTCAAGTGTGTCAACGTAGATAAGATAACCACATGGGTCAGTGTCCTCTCTGGGTGAATCAGAGACATTGAACCTGGTTGGACAACAAGTTAATTAATTAAATGCCAAATTCAGTAGCTCCAAAGTCCAAACTGAAGAGTGGTAAGCCACCTTTGATTCAATGCTTACAAAGGGGTCATCACCTTATTCAAACTAACAATAGTAACATCATATCCTTTTCTTTTTCTTTTTTATTTTCCCTTTTATTTTACATTAGTGGTGTTCACTTGAAAGCATCTATCTATTCTATCGTCTTTCAAAATTGAAAACCTTCACAGAAAGAGCAAAGATAGTGGCAAATAGCACTGCAAACCCAACAACTACACCTGCAGAAACTCCTACAAAATCATATCTATAACCAAAGTATCTTCTCAGAAACTCTTTCACTGTCTCATTAACCTCAACTGTACTTGTTACATCCCCAAACTGTGATGCAGCCAATCCATATAAGCTCCAAGCCACAGGACATGCCCAATAGTACCATCTCCACCACACAGGAATGTTCTGTCACCATATAGAAATAAAACTAAGCATCAGTATATATGTACATCTACTGAATTTCCTCATATGCATTGCTCATTGCATTTGTAGATTACATGACTTACAGGTCGTGGGACAATAAATCCAGAAAATAGATTCCAAACACCATAAAATGCAGTAGCCACAATTGAAGCAATGTGTTGGTTTGGTGTTACAGCCACAGTCATCATGCCATAGAAGGTGAAGTAAAGAAATGTGAAGTACATGAAGAACAGATACCAAAAGAATTTGGATGCAGTCCATTGGAATCCGATCATTGAATAAACTATGATGCCATAAGTTACGGCTTGGACAAAAACATATGGTAGCTCTATTACAACCTAAGAAGTAAATTTACATTAATAGGATTGAGATATAAAACTGACAAAACTACTAAATATTGCTTTTTCAAGTAATATTAACTACCTGTGCAAGAGCATAGGGGATGGCAGAATACATTCCAGCAGCTCTTTCTCTATAGAAGACTGTTCGTTCAATGGCCACAACTGGTTGCACAGAAAAGGCATTTTGAATTCCAAGGAAGAGAATGGCATTGTACATGGAACCAATAGCATTAAACAGTTCTTGTTTCTTTGTTCTGCATGGTGTTCAAAGGGGTCAATTTCCAAAGAGGATATGGATTTAACAAGAACTTGTACATGTTTTTTAATTGAATAATTCTAAATCCTCCAACAACATTCTCCTACTAATCCTCTCACTTGCTTTGTATGGTATGAATTGAATTTTTGTGTTTACAAGAAATATATTTACATTTTTATTTAACATTAGTTCTTTCTGTATGAAGTTTCAGGAAGATTTGCAGAAAGATATGGCATTACACAAATTCATCATAAATTAAGCAAGAGTAACTCACGTTTTGGATCCTAGGTCCCAGAACATGGTCCCAAATATCAAACCTACGAATGCAGTGAACAAAAATCTCACTGCAGTATATGAAGGGTTGCGCCAGTAGGACCAATGTTGTTTCCAAAGGCAGGCCTTGCATTGAATGAAAAATGGTTGTGCATATTGTGTAGGAAAACGAAGTTCCTTGGAACCTGAAGCAGAGTTACTCAATTCTGCTACAAGTGCTTTGTTCCTCCTAACATATGGAATAATTTTTTTTTTTCAGCACTAGTTTGAACTCATATCCTTGTAACATATTTAAATATATATATATATATATATATATATATATTTTAACTAAATTAGAATTTTTGAACACACTAGTAGTACACTACAAAACAAAACAACTTACCTACATAGTTCTGAATTTTTGTATATGTCAGCAAAGTCAACATTCAAATCCATTTCCCGTGCTGAAGTTGTAATTTCCAGCATCCAAGCCGCTGGATTATGACCATCTTTGATTTTATCAACCCCTTCAATCCTCTGCTTGAAAGCAATATTAGAAATAGTAAAGTAATATCTGTAATAAACGTCGCGAACTATGAATGTCATTGACTTTATTTTTCAGACACGTCTTACCTCAAAATACTCAACGAGGTGATTAGAGTGGCGACCTAATGGCCCAACATATATTTCTTCTCCTCCTCGTTTTAGTAGGAAAAGCTGAAACCAATTTTTTGATTGTCATGTTCAAGTAGTACGTCAAATCAAATAAGAAAAGTGAGAACACAGTATCATTTGGTCAAGAGCAGCACTCGCCTCATCAAAAGCTTCAAATATGTCTATACTTGGTTGATGGATGGTACAAACAATTGTTCTTCCTGTGTCCACTATGTTTCTAACTGTTCTCATGACAATTGCAGCTGCTCTGGCATCTAGACCTGACGTTGGTTCATCCATGAATATTATGGAGGGATTAGCCACTAGCTCAACTGCTATAGTTAGTCTCTTGCGCTGTTCAGTGGAGAGACCACTCACACCAGGTAAACCAACCAAAGCTTTCCTCAGTAAGTTCAACTCTACCAGTTCCATGACTTCCTCAATGAACATCTGTAATCACTTATCAGATCAATAGTAAATATAACTAACACTAAACTTATGATGTATAGACAATTGCCAATGTGTCTTGTTGGACTTTATATGCTACCTTTCTGGTTTCAGAATTGACCTCAGGTGATAAACGAAGCCACGCTGAGTAGAGCAAGGATTCAAAGACTGTAACATGAGGAGAGTGGATATCATTCTGCTCACAGTAGCCAGAGATTCGAGCATATGTTTCTTGTCTTTTAGGGTACCCTGAAACTGTGATGCTCCCTTCAATATACCCTCCAGTTTTCCTTCCAGCCAACACATCCAACAAAGTTGTTTTACCTGCTCCACTCACTCCCATCAGAGCTGTGAGGACGCCTGGCCTAAATGCACCACTAACACCCTTCAGAAGGACCAACCTGTCCTCAGTTACTCCATGACTCTTCATCTCCTGCAAGTTGAAATTAAAAGGGGTTCTGTTTTACTGGCAGAAGCAGATTTATGATAGGATAATGTGCTCATCTACAGTGTTTTCGTGGAAATCAATCACCTGTGGCATGTCTACTGAGTAAGTGATTCCATCAAAGGTGAGCGAATGTGGCTCAAACGGAAGAACCATTCCTCTTTTCCTCCTGTGGCTGGACTCAACAACTTCCTTTGGCCTCACTGGTGCATGACAATTGAAAGGTTTTTAAAAATCTGAAAGAATTGATATGAATTATAAAGGGAAAGCGCAAGCATGCTTGCATATATGCAGGTCGCACACGTAAATATATCACCTGTCTCTATGTTGCTACTAGGGGAATCTCCTGGGAGTCTAAGTGGTAATCTAATATCTTGTAGAGTTTTGTCTTTATTCATATTTCCATAAGATTCTTTCAAGATGACAGCCCGTGGCTTCTCAAGTGCTGCTCAATCAATACAGCATAAGTGAGTCATAGTAACGTTTCTGCAGAATATAAAAACTGTATGGAGGAAATACTCACGGTTGAGATAAGTGAGAGCTAGAGTGAATGTGATGTTCAATAGAACAACAAATCCGAGCAATGCCCCAGCCCCTATCCAACACCAGGATGCATGTGTGAAGAACCCGCGAGATTTCAGAACCTCAACTCCCAGTGACTCAGTTGAATTAGGAACAACCTACACTTGAAAATACATTTTCTAACAACTTATTGGATATTGGAAAATATTTGAAGTTTGGTAACTCAAGAAATTACGTGGCTCCAACTCTGCCCGAGGAACTCATTGACCATTATAGCATTCTGCACATACATTACTGGTGACATCCAGTAACCCCATATCCACCATTTCTTAACATCCTCTATTTCAAGAGAAAATGAATACAAAAGGCAAAGCAAGCCATGTAAGGTTCAAAATTTTGAAAACTTATGTTACTTCTATTGAATAATTGTACCTCTTGACAATATAAAACCGCCCAACGTGAGAAGAGTAACTACTGCAAATGATCCAAATGTGTTAGCTATAATCATATTCCTACCAGTTGCTGCGATTGTACGAAATAATGCAGAAGCCATCTGGCCAAGTAGTAGTAACAGAAGATATTGTTTGAAAAACCTACATCAATAGCAGCATCTCAGATCTAATACCACAATCACAATGAGTCTTCCCAAGTCCAAAGTAGATAAGGATAGATTACTTACCTGCCAATACTTGGATCAAACCCAACTGCATAGTAGGTGATAGATACCCAGACAACTACTTCAGCCAATGTAATAGGGATTTTAAGAATCCAGCTGGGAATAGCATAAGCCCATGGAGGGTAAAATAGGAGGTCCCTTTGCTTGTAAAATATAGGAAGCTTCGCTACATTCATAGAAATATCGGCCATCCCATTAAACAACACCATTACTATAGAGAAAAAAAGTGCACCAGTGTAAACTCCCCCGTTATCCACAGAATCCTTGAGCATCTCAGTTCGCAGGAATACTGTCATTGCTACCACTGCCATCACTGCGAGCTAATGGCAAAAGGAGAAAAATTTCAAGTGAACACCATGCATGCAAAACGAAAATAAGACACATTACAATAAAAAGTAATTTCTTTTAAACACTGGCTAGAACTAACTTGTGATAGCTTGAAGATATATACAAACGCATTCCTCTTCATCAGCAAATACTCCCTAGAGAAGTTAGCTTTCAAAAGCTCCTTCTTGTTTACCCCGTACTTGTTGGTTGTTAATGCAGCTGGGTGGTTCTTTGTCTTATCAAATGGAACAGCTAGCTCATCTCTAAGTTCCCTACCAACATGGAAGCATTGAAATGCCTTGGCAAATTCGTTAACTGTAACAAAACTGTATGGCTCATCTTTGTGTATCCAGTATTGCTGTTGATCCTTCCTTGAAGTCACCTGGTAAAGAATATAGATACATCTGATATTCTGATAAGGCATGCATATTTTTAATTTCAATTTCATGATGTGCATGAGATAAGAAAAGGTAAAGATCGATTCACTTCTTGAAGGAAGTCAGCAACGGCTTTCCTCTCAGGACATCTGAAACCCATAGATTCAAAAAATTCAAGAACGAATTCACGAGGTCCTTGATATACTATTTGGCCATCAGAGAGGAGGATAATGTCATCAAAAAGTTCATATGTCTCTGGTTCTGGTTGCAATAGTGAGATAACTGCTGTTCCATCTAAAATGTGAACAATTTGTCTAAGACACTTGATAATTTGAACAGTTGTGGAGCTGTCCAAGCCAGAAGATATTTCATCCATGAACAAAGCATTTGTTGGGCCAACCAACATCTCCCCTGTAAATAATGCATGTAAAATATAAATAAAGAATGTAGAAACTGAATTGGAATCACTTAAAGGGACAAGCATTTGGATCACCACCTGCGGTAACACGCTTCCTTTGTCCACCAGATATACCACGCAACATTTGATCCCCCACCACAATATCAGCACATATTTCGAGCCCCAAAATCTATAAATTACAAATAAACATATTATTGAGAACTATTAAGAAAGTGTTTGTAAAGTAGGCGTGAGATCATAACACTTCTGAAGAATATTGGAGATATCATATCACCTTAAGTACATATTCTGTCATCATTTGATTTGCTTCCTGGCTTTCAGATGCTGTTGCCTGGTATCATCAGAAGCCAATAAGATGAAAAGACTACTTGTCCATCACGAAAAAAAAAAATCAATGAATTTTTATTTAATCATAACCTTTATAATCAAAATATCCATGAACTATAAGAGTTTAGCAAACTTCAATAACACCCTAAGCAGTTTTTACTTGCAAAGTAAACACTGATAATCTTCCCTTAGCATGTTATTTAAAGGAAGTGTTGGATATTAAAACACACTCCAAAACTCCTTGTTCACCTTCATGTAGATATCAATAATAGGGTCAGGCTTAATATTCGCTGCTATCTCTCTTCTTGACAGTTCAGATAGCAAGTCTGTACATGGTCAAAACAATACCAAGTAATGCTTGGATTACATAAGTGGAAGTTATCACTTTCAATAGCAGCATCAGGTGTAAAGTTAAAAGCTGACTAACCATAACGTGATCCAACCCCTTGGCACCTTGCAGAGAAAGCAAAGGTTTCCCTAACAGTCATTTCTCCAATATGAACATCATGCTGACTAATATAGGAAGCAGTTCTCTGGGGTACAAATTCATTCATCCCATGCCCATTATAAGTCACTCTCCCAGAAACCTACAGCAAACATCAGCACTTGAGTTGGATATAGCTGACTGAAATAGAATGCCAATGACAAATGGAATTCTTTTTACCTTCAGATCTGGATCAAGCTTTCCTGCAAGAGCCAAAAGGAGTGTAGTTTTTCCAGAACATGGAGGACCTAAAAGCAATGTCATCCTGATAAATGCAATGATAAAGTATGAGACTGTTAAATTAATGGCCTATAAAACTCTTTCTTTCTTTTTTCCTGTTATAATTATGTTTTTACTTATTTAAGTTATTTTGTTTGTATTAGTGGTAACATTCAATTTACTTTAATTTTGGACAGAATTATATTATATTAAATATAAGTAAGATATCATCTTCAACTTAAAACTTTAAAACATTAAATTTATAAAATTTTCTCTAATTTTCTCATTTATACTGGAACTTCAACTAACTTGAATTCCAATCATTTTAATGTTTAAAGTTATCTTGGTTTAGCAGTATTATCTAGAACATTATTCTTATAAGTTGCGGGTCTAAAAAAAATTGAGAGGGAATTCAATAACTTCTGGGAGCCTCCAGGTGACTTATATATTTGTCAGTCTCTTCACTTATCTCCAATTGATTTTGAGGTGAAATTTGATATAATGTCAAAGTTTTCTTGATATGGATTTTTTCTTATTAATTTTATGTCTTAATTTTCAGGATGTGACATATTTATTTATTGGATCACTTTGCGGTTCTACTTTATTTTAATTTAAGATAGATTTATACTCAAAATGTAGTGGATTAATGTAGTGGCTATATAATCCTTTGTTGACAGCATTTATGATACGATGATGGATTATCATATGTGTATCCTTAAATATTCTTTTAGAGTATGAAATATAATATAACTATGCAGCAAATACAAAATTACTTTCTTTCTCATCACTTTTTTCATTTTCATGTTATGAATTTGTTTTGTTTTTTTATGATTAAATCTATATTAGTTTAACAGAGACTAAGATATAAAAAAAATGAAGGAGGATTGAGCTTTCCGAATCCTTTCAATTATGCTCTCTCACCTACAAGGTTTTGCAATTCCACTAACATCTTCAAGAATGGTCACGTGCTTCTTTTTGCTAGAAAGAATACGCAGATAGTTCAAGTAACTCTGAAATATAAAATGTCAGAATTAGCTAGATAAACAAAAAGCAACCCTAACTTTGATAGGGAAAAAAGTATCAATCAAATTGGTTTTAGCCTTACTTACTTACCTCTACTGTATTAAAAATGAAGTTCAAGACTGTCGGTAAGGCTCTGCTGCCAACATAAGCTTCTGCTTCAACATTCAGATGCTCAAACCTAGCTTCAATTGTTGGAATACTAATCCCAACTCTAGAAATATTGAAAGATAGGGAATGGGTAGAAAACTCATATATTCAATGCCAAGGAAAGGCATGAAATAAAAACAATAAAACCTTAAACATTTTGACTTGTAATATTGCCATTCATGCATGGAGGATAACCAGAACCAAGACAAGGTGAAGTAAAAGTACAAGGAAAAGATATATATAAAAAAAAAAAATACTAGCAATGGATTTATTACCTATCAATTCTTTCCCTCAGCTTCAACAGAAACTTTTCATTGTCCTCTTCAGCATCTCTTACCAACCTCTCCAACACGTGCTTCCTTTCCTGTGCTCCAATATCAGTGACATCAATTTCATTCACCTCACCATTGGATGTAATTAACAACCCTTTCTTTAAACGATTGTATGTAGGGAGTTTTTCAAGTGCAGCCCATTTCAGAGCTTCTTCATCATCTTCTTCAAATGAGTTCCTAGAAAAAACGCCACTTGCATCTCTCCAAATTGAAGAACTGCTTACTTGAAAGCTGCTAGTAGCTTTATTCAGGTTACCATGCTCCATTTTCAACCAAGAAAGGGTGAAAAGGATAAATAATAGAGCAGCACCAACCTCTCAAACTCACCAAATCAGTTTATCTTTAATTGATATTCTATTTTATCAAAACAAATGTCATTCCAAACATCATTCTAAACCAAGGAGTAGCAAGCAGTATTGCACCCACTAATTAAAACACAAGAATATCACACGAAAGAGTGGAATAAATGGATTGAACCCAGTTGCTAAAAATATTGAAACAAACTCTCTTTACTTGTGCAGTTCAGTCCTTTCCTCCTTATGATATGTGAAAGAAAAGAGTGGCATGCATGAATATATAGATGAAACTGCTCCCAGCAAAGTATAACGACTCCACATTAAAGTTTTGAGAGTAGCAGAGTGTGGCTCTTGCAGCATAAAATGACACTAGAGCCATGCAAGGATTACGCAATAATCGTGGACTTTGTGGCCAAATTATCCGTGCAATGTGACACTTGCTATCAAATGAAACTCATGAGGTTAGCATTCTTTGATTTGGACTTCAACGTCATCTGCTTACCTGCTTAATCAATCTATCACTAGTTGAATTTTTCTCCAGTAGTAAAGGACAAACCATTAAATTAATGCTTCATTGCCAGCACAATAATAAAGTTCAGGAAGACAACGTCTTTGAAGTAATGCTATTATTTTGCTTCAAATTACACTTTACCATAATGAGAAGGGTTGGTAAAGCAAAGAAAAAGGGTTGGTTAAAATATGGAACCTGGACAAGCTCCAAACTAAGACATCAAGTTTTGGAAATTGATGAAATGCAAACATTGGATTGTGTCGCACGTTTATTTGGCCAACGTAAAACCAAGACTTTGGCGTGTTTGAAAATATGTTAATCTACGAGAACAAGAAATGTTTGATATTATCATCACTATATCATGTTGCAGGTAGCATCAATTGTCCTGTGACGAAGGTCAGGTGGGCCGAGTCACAATTGAATCGTGGCGCTTGGGCTGTTAAAGTAAAAAGAGTTGCGCTCTGACTAATGGCTATAGCTTTTGGCCTAGTGGTAAGCGCTCGATCCTAACAATTGGTATCAGAGCCAAGGTCACGAGTTCGATTCCTGGTGGGCAATTGTTGAGGGGGAGATTGTTGCAGGTTGCACAATTGTCCCGTGGCAGAGGCCGGGTGGGCCAAGTCACAATCCAAGAGTGGGATACCTTGTAGGACAATTGCTGAGGGGGAGATTGTTGCAGGTAGCATCAATTGTCCTGTGACGAAGGTCAGGTGGGCCGAGTCACAATTGAATCGTGGCGCTTGGGCTGTTAAAGTAAAAAGAGTTGCGCTCTGACTAATGGCTATAGCTTTTGGGATGACCAAAACAAGAAAATTATCAGAAGTAGAAATGTTACTTTTAATGAAAACATGTTCTATAGAGACAGGATTGCAGAATCTGCAAATGTAAATAAACAGCTAGAGCAAGTATCATTAGAAGAAATTTCAGAAAGTGATGTAGTCAACCGAAGGCGTAATATACAAGTAGAGCCTATGTCGAGCCTCGAGACGTAACTCGAACAAATAGTAGAGTCAGCAACTCCCGAAATCTTGGTTAGAAGATCTAGCAGAACAATTGTAGCACCACAAAGGTATTCCCCTTCATTGCATTATTTGTTGTTGATCGATGTCGGTGAGCCGAGCATTTTGTCGAGGCTATGCGGGGAGATGAATCTATTAAGTGGGAGCTAGCAATGGAAGATGAGATAAAGTCCCTTCGGAAGAATAAAACATGGTCTTTAACCAAGCTACCGAAGGAAAGAAAGTTTTGCAAAACAGGTGGGTCTATAGGTTGAAAGAAGAACCGGATGGCAAGAAAAGATATAAGGCTAGACTCGTAGTGAAAGGGTTCCAACAAAGACAAGGAATTGACTTCACGTAAATTTTCTCTCCGTTGTCAAGATGACTACCATCGAGTTATCTTGAGTATAGTAGACTGCAGAAAATCTTCATTTGGAGCAGTTAGATGTCAAAACCGCATTCTTACATGGGGATCTTGAAGAGGAAATTTTTATGACACAACCAAAAGGTTTTGAAGTACAAGGCGGAGAAAATCTTGTATGCAAGCTTCATAAAAGTTTGTACGGATTAAAACAAGCGCCGAGACAATGGTACAAGAAGTTTAATGAGTTTATGAGAAACTCAGGATTTCGCAGATGTGAAGAAGATCACTCGTTGTTATGTGAAGAAATATGTTGATAGCTATATCATTCTTGCCTTATATGTTGACGACATGTTGATTGTTGGAGCTAATATGGCGTAAATTGACAAGTTGAAGAAACAATTGTCGGAGAACTTTGAAATGAAGGATCTTGGTCCAGCCAAGCAAATTCTTGGTATGAGAATCTCCCGAGATAGAGATAAAGGTATTTTGAACTTATCTCAAGAAAAATATATAGAAAAATTGCTTAGCAGATTCAATGTTGGGAATGCTAAAACCAGGAATACACCTTTGGGAACTCACTTAAAGTTTTCAAAGAGGCAATCTTCTCAAACAAGAAGAAGAAAGTCACATGTCTAAAGTGTCATATGCATCTGCAGTAGGAAGCTTGATGTATGCTATGGTTTGCACCGGACCGGACATAGCACATGCAAGTGGGAGTTGTGAGCAGATTTCTATCAAATCCCGGAAAGGAGCATTGGGAAGGAGTGAAGTGGATATTCGGATATTTGAAAGGCACTTCAAAGATGCATTTGTCTTTCAAGAGAAGTAATCTCATTTTACGGGGGTTTTCTCGATGCGGACTTGGGAGGTGATCTTGACGGTAGAAAGAGCACAACAGGTTATATTTTTACATTGGGTGGTACAGCTATCGGTTGGAAGTCTAAACTTCAAGGAAGGGTCTCTCTCTCAACCACCGAAGCAGAGTATGTAGCTATCTCGTAAGCGGCGAAGGAGATGATATGGTTGAAGAACCTTCTAAAAGAATTAGGAAGAGAACAAGATGGTTCTCCGTTGTTTAGTGACACTCAAAGTGTTATTTGTCTTGCTAAAAATCCAATCCTTCATTCCAGATGTAAGCACATTGAATTGAAGTATCATTTTATCGAAACCCGATAAATGATGGAGACTTGAGTTTGTTGAAGATTCTAGGTGCAGAGAATCCCGCTGATATGTTGACCAAGACTGTTACAACAACTAAGTTGAGACTTTGCATTGCCTCAACTGGCCTTCGAGCAAATTGATGATGAAGGCACTACACTAGGTGGTAACGTAAATCAAACTCCAAGTGGGAGAATTGTTAGTATTATGGTGCTTGATTTAGTCCCACATCGATTAGGATTGTGAGATGAGGTTCTCTATTTTGTTATATAAGCAACCCTATGTAAAGTTTGAGATACACACAGAAATAAAAATTACTTCCTAGTGTAGTCGTGGACGTAGTTTTTATTTCTGTGTGTATCTCAAACTTTACATAGGGTTGCTTATATAACAAAATAGAGAACCTCATCTCACAATCCTAATCGATGTGGGACTAAATCAAGCACCATAATACGTAATGTTAACCATGTTCAAACGCTTAATGAAGGTTGCAGGTAGTTACAATTATCAACTAACTTCATTAACACATGCTATCAACATAATGAATGGGCTTCACGACAAATCATGTGAATTGGGCTAAGATTTCCTGGTCTAAGCCCAAACAAAGTATATGCTGAATCAGGCTGATAATCAGCCCATGAAAAACAAAATCGGCCCAGGGCTCTGTAAGGCTGTCAATTTGATCCAGTCAAATCGCACCTCCCACGTTATCATAGCTCGTAGAATTCTGAATTTCATACACCATAAATAATTTTATTTTTTTTTAAATATATCAATGTCACATTACTAGTCTCTGAAACTATTACCCTAAAATTAAAATTAAAAAAATGTTTCTTGAATAATAATATCCACATATGTATAAGAATCAAATGACAATAAAATACTTAAATTTTGAAACTTGGGATGAAACAACTAACAATTTCATATATTCATTTGAAATTTTGTTTACTTGAATAATTAATGTAACAGAGATAAATACTTTAAAAATACCAAAATGGGGTTTATTCTTACAATTATATACGATATTCTAATATACCGTTGTTGTTTTTGTTCCAATATATATCTTCGACCATAAACATTTTATTTGAAGCATATAAAGATAGACAGTAATATATTATCATTTCAACTTTACATATATGAGAAAACATATCTTGAAAAATTTAAATGACGTATAAATAATAGCATTTTTTTTCCAGAAAAGAAAATAAGAAAGAAGAATATGGAAGTGCAAGAGCATGGTCAAGTTGAATGGTTGGTTGGGTCAAATACGGAGCAATTCCCATTATCAAACATATGAAATCCATGGTCAAGTTTTCCACCCAAGTACCATTATCCCACTAAGTATGCCTCTACAATTCAGAATTTGACACTAGGAGAATATGAATATAGGCCTACAACAACAACAACAACAAATTTATGCACCTTACCCCACCAATCATCAACAGAGGATAAAGTTACCTCCCACTCCCACCACACATGGCATAGTCAATATCCAAACTTTGATTGATGGTAAAACATTACAATCTTGTTTCTTTTTGGGGAGTGTACTTTGAAATAAAAGAGACTTTTTTGTAACTTTTTACAAAACAGTACCCCCAATTTGTTCAAACCATATTGATTTGTCACAAAATCATTTCCTACTTTCTGATTTCAAATTTCTCCCATGACGTTAATTATCCCACAACAACAAGAACTAGCCTTCACCCACTTTATTCTTTTTGTTTCATCTTGAATTAAATCCCATGAGCATTTTTTGTTTAAAACAACAATAAATTTTAATATATGAATGTATACAAAAATATAATTATTAAGGTATAATATTTGAGAACAAATTCTTATATTTTAGACAATCGAAACTTAATCATATTTTATGTCTTAAAAATTAAATATGACAATAGCTACATTTTATATTTATGACGTAGATAACCCTAATGGAAATCAAATCCTTTTTACATATTCTCAAATTTCAGGGGTACTTTAGTCCTAACAAAAACATTACATATTCTCCTCCTAGGTAACCGTTACCAAGATAGAATACAGAGTGAGTGACCCCTCTTACACCAAATTTATTACATGTAAAGTGACATCAATCTTTAAATTGATTACTTCAATTTGAAACCTTTGCAAGCTAAAAACAATTCGACCGTTGCAAGCTAAATTGATTACTTCTACCAAACAAAACGTAACACGCTCCTCCTTCGACCACAAAAACTGCAACAACGAACAAGAACTTCACCCCAACAACGGTAATGGCGGAAGCTGAGGATTATGGGTTTGCCCCAGATGAAATGGTAGTCAGTGAAAACCTTGGCTACCCTAAAGCCTTCGCAAAACTCTGTCGTGACCGGAGTTTCGGTCCCTACAGCCATGGCCCTCCCTTTACATTCATCCCTTATGCTTTGCAAGAACATGAGGTAAACAAGTAAAATTTACATTTTTCTCTCTATCACTTTTGGTTTAGCTTAAGTGGTAAAGAATACGAATAAAACAAGTTATGAGTTTGAATTCAAGAATTTTGTATTGTTGTTGTTGTTGCTTTAGGCTGAGAGAGCTCGGGATTTGGATGAGATGTTTCCGATTATAGATCCCAAAGCTAAGGCGACCAGCAAGCCTAAGATCTTTGTCACTGTCTTGTGGAAGCAGCTCCGTCATCTTGGGTAGGTTTTCAATTTGGAAGATTCTGAAAGTTTCAATTTTGATTTCTGATGCTTTGTTCGTGTTATGTTATTAACAATTTGGCAAATCTCAGGAATGCTGGCTTTGACCCTGCTGTAATTCGAGTGGATGGTTATGGCAATGTGCTCTATTATCACGCAGATTCGGCCTCTCCTCTGGCTTGGGATGTTGATCACTGGTTTCCTTGTTCAAGTAATCTTTCTTTCTCTTTCTATTTTGAGAATGTGTGGAGTAAAATTCAATTGGGTTGTCTGTGTCACATGGTGTGATTTTTCTCCTTTGGCATGGCAATGCAGGGGGGGGTTTGACTGTTCTTAGCAATCTAAGGATATTACAGCGGCAAGTCTGTAAGAGGAAGAAAAACAAGCTGGAATTCTTGGTGCCATGGTGGGATTTCCAATTGGGGATCTCTGTGAACCAGTTCCTGTCTGTTTTTGCATCGTCAAACTCAGACTTCAGGTAGGGCTTTTTTTTTTTTTTTTTTTGTTATTCCTCAATTTTTCTTGGACGTCCAGTGGAAGGGTAATGAATGGTATTTGTTTTTGCAAATGACAGGCACAGAGCCTTTTCATTTTTGTTCTATGAAGGAGAAAATCAAGAATTGAATGCTTCACAAATAGTGGATTCTCATTCTTTTCCACAACACTTCTTTGGGTTGAAAGAAGAGGTAGGCCTGGCTCCAGCTGCAATCGTAGAATCTCGAAGGGAACCTTGTGATGCATTAGCTTTGAGACAACTCGATTACAATAGGAAGCCAAGGCCAATGTCTCCTGCAATAGGTTGGTGACAGTTGATGATTACCGTTCAAAATTTGAATTGGTTAAATGATTTGAAGATAGAGACTGATTTCATATCTGACCATCCTCTGATTGAAACTCTTTTCAGTAGCTGCAAGGAAAACAAATGGCAGTCTTCTGAAAGAAAATGAAGATCCAGATTTTGTGAAAAATCCCTACCAAGCAATTGTCATGGCTAGAGATTCCCTGAAGCAAAGAGAAGAAACTACAAAAATGCAGGCAGAAATACAGAAGCTAGATGATGAAGTGAATGACTTAAAGCTCAAAAATGAGGAAGAAAAGCTCACTATTCAAGACCTGGAAATGGCACTCATAAAACGTAGGAGGAAGGCAGAAAAGTGCAGAAGGTTAGCTGAGGCTCAATCTTCTTACAGGATTATGCTAGAGAAGATGATCAGAGACAGCATGCATCAGTAAGTCCCAATATCCGAGGATTGAAATAGGGTTAGAGAGTGTATTTTCTCTTTATAACCAATAATATTTCTCCTTATATTTTCTTGGTAAAAAGAATTATTTGTTCCTTTAAATAAAATTATTTGTCTGACATGAATTCTGAATATGATTGGAGAACATAAATATCATGAATACACAATCCGCATTCAACTTCTTTGGCATTAAATACGATAAGGATAATTTTGAAACAACAACACAAATTACTGACAAATTTATTATTATCAACTAAAATAACATTTTTTTTAAAGAATGTGAATTAGTTAAAAGGGTCTTATAATCATTAACAGAGAGAGTAGGAGTAGTATTTTTCTTGTATTTTACATTAAATGTTTTTCTTTGGACTTAAACAACAGGCTTTTAAATATTGGTTTTGTTGCAGGAGTGTCATTTATAAGGAACAGGTAAGATTGAACCACGCTGCAACTAATGCATTAATGGCTAGACTTGAAGCACAGAGGGCAATCTGTGATGCTGCTGAGAAAGATCTTCACAAGAAATACAAACAAAGAGATGACATAGAGAAACAGATCAGACCTGAATGGGAGCAAGGAAGGAAGAGGTCAAGAATAGATGATGCCACTTTTGACGAGAGAGACAGTAAACCAGCTCTTTACTTGCCTGGGCCCAGACCAAGAACACCTTCGCACAAGGAGCTCAGAATGTTTTTAGAGGAGGAACAAAGGGGATTCGAAGTTGACTTCTCAGCAAACGAAGAGCAAAAGCAGGAAGATAAAGAACAGAAGATGAACATACCAGCTAACAATGACACAGAAGAGAAGAAGCTAGAGGAGCATATTAGATCAAGTGTTGCATTAGATGAAGAAAACTCAATTGAGCGAAGACTTGAGAAGCTTAAAATCAGCGTAGGCAAGAGGAGTTGTGGCATTTCCTTCACAAGTCTTCATGAGACAGAAACTGAGGAAGATGAAGAAACCAGAAAGCAACGTGGAAAAGGGAATGTGGAGAAGTGGCTTCAGATGCTTTTAGAAAATAGTCAACAAGCAGGAACTGATCCAGAAGAAACAAATGAAAATTCTTCTTGTGGAACTGAAGAAAAAATAATCCAACAACTGAATCAGAAGTTCCCACAAAAGGAGTTGAGGATCTCAAAAGTTTCAGATTCTGATTATAAAGAGAATCAGCTGCAACTTCTTGACGACAAGAATACATGGACAGATAAGGAAGATAGAATGGAAAATGAATCTACAAGTGTTATGCCGACAGTACATAAAAATTATTCTGAAGAAGCATGCATCACAGGTGAAGGAAATTGCATTCCTACTGGTGTTGAAGGGATGGAAAGAAAGGAACAACATAAAAAGGAAAAAAAACTTCCTAGATCAGATAGTGCCAGGACCATGAGGCGAATTCCATCGTCTCCATCTTTGCTTTTTGGTGGCATCAGAAAAGGTGTGGACAGCATTCGGAAGAAGCCAACAGCAAGTGATGATCTGGCAGCATCAAACAATTTCTTGAGGTCATCCATCAAGACAATCAAGAAAGCTGTGAATTTATGAATATAGAAGCACATTTGAGGGGCTATGCATAATGCATTTGTACCTTAGTTCTTAGAATTTGTACCTTAGTTCTTAGCATCTGTTTGTACCTTATGTTTCTTGACTACTTTACAATTTGAGTGATTTTAGTTTAATAAAGTGAGTGAAATTTGTAATCCAAAAAAGGAGAGAAAATAAGTGTCTGAAATGTAGGGTTCCATTGTTTGATTTGTGTTCAAGATTTTGAAGTTGTCAAATATTTGAATAGTGATAACACCTTGTTTTTGCTGCAAGCAATTTAGGTTTCTTTTACTTTCCTGCTTTGGAAAAACTCTGAATTTGAATTCTCGAACTTGCTATGTATAGTGGTGACGCCCTTATGCCACAAACTCTTCATGTTTTGTTTGGGAATCCGATTGAGATGCTACAAACAAACATTCAAATGTTCAACAGCATCAAGGAGTGAAAGAAAAATTCATGTCATTGAAGAGAACGTCTCATAAAGTTGGTGCCAATTGGTTTTCAAACACATCCTGAATCATTCCTATGTGTATATCCATTACATATAATAAACAACTTTGATAAGAAAAATAATGTTTTTTATTATGTTTTTCATTATAATTTTTCACCTAAACAAAATTAAGTTTAAGATAATTTGATTTCTTCTCATTCTCTTCTTACCATGAATATAATGGAAATATATATCTTTTATTTATTTTGTTCTCTTATCAATTTCCTTAAACAAAATTTTAATTTTAATCATTTTTATAATGGTAATAAATAAGAGTATCATGATTTATCATCCCAAAAATTAATTTTTAAATAATTTGATTTTTTTTTCTTATTATGTATTTATTTCTAAGTATTGAATTTAATTACATATTATTTTGTTTTTCTTTTTTTATCTAATTGGTATTTTTAAAATAATATTTTTATTTTTTTCATATTTCCTAAAATCTTTTTATCTTTTATGCATACCTTTTTTTTATTTTTGTACATTTTTCTTTCAATTGATAATTATTATAATTTTTTCTACAGCGAAATTTCAATTGAAGATTAAGGTAATGAATACTTTCTTCATTTTTTTCTGTTATAAAATTCTTTTAACCTTTTTTTCATCAACTTTCATGTATTTTAATATCGCGTTAATTAAAAATAATTGTCACCTCAAAAAAATTAAATTTAGGTAAATTGATTTTTCTTATTCTTATTTTTTTTATGAGCGTTTTTCTTTATTTTTTTACATTTTTTTAATTGAAAAAGGACAATAAACTTGTATAGAGAAATTTACGTACATATGTAATTGTTCTAATTCATCCATTTTTGAATTATATGAATTAATGGTTACTTTTATTTCATGTTTATTGAGAAAATAAAAGATTCTTATTCATGGTCTCTAATTTTTTTCTTTATTTTAATTTAAATTTCACTTCAAATTTAAAATTTAAAATACTATTAGTAATCGTGATAATTGCTACACAATGTATACATTTAATTAGAAAATTATTACATTAAAAACAGAGAAGGATGATTATGTTTTATATGAGTACAAAATTGTTTTATCACACTTGTAATTTCAAAATATTAATATTCAAAGGTCTCAAACAAATAAAGAACTTAGGTATAAGCACATCTTTATTGAATTTATTCCAAATAGAGTTATAATCTTACACTATTTCTCAAATCTAACACCACAAAAAACGAACTTGTATAATATAACAAATACACACAAATTATATCAATTATATGTCTTTGTTCACAGCTTATGTTTCAGGACAAAGATTTTCTCCACTTGTGGTGAGTCTTACTTTTGACCAAACTGGTTTTCGTGTCCTTAGGCGTTTGTCTTCCACATCCAACTTCTCTTTCAGCTTCCTCCTCTTCTTCTTCAATTTTCTCCACTTCTCCCACATTTCTACTAAATGTAGGCATTCCAAACCTCTTCCATTTGAATAGACCCTTCTTCTTCACTGCCAATCTTTCCATCTGCAGTTTCATTGCATTGAGCTGGTTTTGCAGCCTGTAAACATCTTCCTTCAGCTTCCTTATCTCCAACTGCTGAGCATTCATTTCTCGCTTTGAAAGGCACCGTCCAAGTGGGTCATGGCCTCCTCCATTTGGGCTCCTCAAGCTGAAGGAGCCACTCCAATCTACCTGGCGGTTGAGTATGGTTTGTTCAGAGAAGAGCACCTGAATCACAGCTCTCACAGGCAATCGTTCATTTTGAGCTGCATGAAGTGAGGCCTCTGGTGTGAGTTTCCTGCTATCAAGCAGTCTACACAGGCCCTTCCTTTCTTGCTTTGTCACACTTGGATGTGCCTACAACACATAACCAAAGTTTAGAGTTTCAAAATCATACTCTTACTACAAATAGTACAAGAATCATGTTTCTCAAATCTGCAAGTCTTAAAATGGTATCTAACAAAGGACTATAGTTTGGTACATCATGATCAGCATACATTTTGAGCAATAACTAACATGCCTATCACCATCTATTAATGTCTAAAGTGGCGCAAAGGGTCTGCATTTTTTTAATAGTAAAATGAAGTTGTAATCATAAATAGGACAAGTTTGCATTATTCAAATAACATAGGGAAAGACTAACTACTAATATATACTCCTACTTGTACATGACGGGTTACCTAAATTTATGAAACTAGTGCACCTTTTGGAGTGACAACAAGCAATAAATATGCACCTAGCTATCAGAGGAAATGCCAAGCATTTAACGTCTAAACTAGAACGAGTTTCCTGTTCTCATAAAATCATTAAGAACGTTCCATTTCAGTAAAACATTTGCGTAAATTTTTTCATTTATCAGTATGTGGGACAAGAGAAAAGCCAAATGTCGAAAAAAAATTGATCACAGCTATGATCTAGTGGCCCCACATGAAAGACATTTATGTTATTTCAGTTTCACTTCACCTATTCACACTCAAAAGAATCTCATGCTAGTGACAACACAAGAAGCATTTTCCCAAGATATCTAGAATGAACGTTTTAATCCATCCCCTTCCTATTTGTCATAAATACATAAATAAAGAGACATGAATAACAAAAAAATTACCTCTACTGAATCAAGAAACAACAAAACTTATAGACCATTCCATAGGGTTTTTTTTCTTTTTCTATTGTTGTTTTCCCATTAGAATTGGAGTTTCACCTTGATAATTTATGTTGATTTCCAATTCAAACTTTTATTACACAGATGACTGAAGTGAAACTCCAATTCTAACAAGAGAACTTTACTAGAAGCACATGGAACTGCATCTGTGTTTTTTCCATAAAATAATTTGAAACTAAAATGAGAAGACATACTTTTAGATAAGTGTCAATGGCTCTGTACAAGCCATCATCAATTGCTCTTGCATGGCTTGGAAGAACTCCAGCAAGTGCACGGAACTCAGACAAGGTCAAATTGGCATCCACAGCAGCCTCAGCTAGGAAGCAATCAACCAACTTGGCCACCTTAACCAAAGCAGCACCATCGCGGTCCATGCTCATAAACCTCTTGACCAACCTGAGGACAAGCTCAACATCCAAGAGAGTTCCACAGGTGTGGCTGAAGGAGGGTATCAATAGCTCTTTGAGAGAAGCTTGATCTAGCTGCGATGAAATGCGGTTCTCAAGCTCAGCTCTATAAGTAGCATCAACCTGAACCATGTTGGCGGTTCTGAGAAGACGAAGGAGGAAGTTGCATGGGACAGAATCCTTCTCGGGAGGCAGAACATTCACCAAGGTCTCCACAAAGAACCTCTTCTTCATCCATGAATTCGTGACGCTTTCTGGGGATTGGAATTGAGTGGTGACACCATTCTCAGCAGAGGCTGAGAGGTCAGGAAGCCAAATGGAAGCATAATGAGTGATGATGGAACCAATCAAGTCTGCACGAATACCCTTCTGTTTGATGCTTGAAAGAGTCTTTACAAAGTAATCAATGTCAACTATGCATTCATCATCGAACCAACATTCCCAGGATCCAACATTTGTCTCTGATTCTTCACAACACTGCTTCTTCATTTCCACTACTCATAAGGCACTGCAGCTTCGCAATTTTATGCCACCTATCTTGCTTATCATAAAACTAGCGTGAGAAGAGAGATAAATACTTTCATTCATGTCCTTCTTTCAATGAAGCCAACCAGAATACAGAACAAAAGTAATTACAACATAGCATCAAACTTGAAAAGGACTAGTTTGTTTTCTCTGTATCTTATGTATTGCGTGAGGGATTTGGACTTGTTCCATTTACATGCGCAAAGGATATAGAAACAAAATTTGGAGCAATATTTGTTTACTTTATAAGGCCACATATACACACAGTACATGTAAGTGATCCTACGTTAGGATTGTGAGTGGCAGTTGGGCAATTTGCAGAGTGATGGAAAGTGAAGGAAATGGAAACCTAAGAGGAGCCTCTGTACATGCCAAAGTTTGTTTTTGCATCCCATGCCCGTGAACCCCACTAGTCATTTGTTGCTTTCGAAGCAGACATATGTACCTCAGATTATCATGGTCCATTCTCGATTTTATTATGGTATTTGAAACAAGTCACGATATTCAGAATACAATGATATTATTTAACTCGGGAGTATGGTCCCAAAATGATTGGTTGGACACGTGTCACCTTTCCATGGCAGTATAGTTCTGTAGTAGCTTGGACAAATGTTATCTCAATTGGCTTCACCTATCCACTTTCTCTTAGCATGGTATCAGGGGTGTGAAAATGTTAGAAGGTTTACCCGCATTATTCACTAGACACGCTGCTTCCAAGTACTTTATGCAATGGGGTCCCCTTACTCTAAATAATACTTATACCTTCCCTGCAAATAATGCAAAATACCATCTTTGTCAAGTTGTTTGGAACAGGATGTGTTTCCATGAAGGGCCAGCTCTACTACTACTAGGTCAAATTGCCCGTGGCTATGGTCAAATCAAATTTTGTTGTTCATGATGTGATTGCTTGGACACAAGGGAAATGAGCAGAAGCAGAATCCTTTCCATCAAGGGATTCGTTTTATGTGCATGCGCAAGATGGACGTGCATATTTAACCTTCAAACAAGGGATTCGTTCTACACCACATACATTCATGGTAGGTTTTCAGAATATAGTTTTTACATTTTACAAATGAATAGGTGGTAGAAGAAATTTGTGGGATGCAAGAAGTGTCCCCATGCTAAGATTTAGTCCTCAGTTGCAAGAGCGAGGCATAGCTCCTTGTAATCATTGAACTTATCTATTTGAAACAAAAATTACAAATGTGTTCATTCTTTCATTTCTTTTTCTGTTTTTTTAATGTGCTACCAAATAGGAAAGGTTCATATTGAGAGAAGGAAATCATTTATCTATGGGACAAAAGAAACAATAATGAGACTTAGAAAGAGAAAAAAAAGTGAGAATCAAACTCATTAAACAATGACCTACAACTAATAGTTTGAGCAAACACATCTCATGAGTTGGGATGACTCTTCCTGCTGCCATGCAATTCAATGAAGTTTAAGCTTTAAATATTGTGAGGAGTTGAGTTCAATTCAATGTACTTGAGGAGTCACCACCAGTTGTTGGATTCAACAGTGGAACACTTGCAAGAGAACCGTTTCCATCCTCATCCTTGGCCACCACTGGTATCTTAACAGCAGCTGCTCTTTCCATCTCTTTCTCAAGCTCTTCTTCTCTACGCAAGGCAGTGAACTGGGAATCAAGCGACTTGGCCGCTGCTAACCAGGCAAGAACAATCACCAGAAGCACCCCTCCCAGGTATGGAGTTGAATTAGCCAGTGAACCAAAAGTTAAGATCATGAACTGCTGAATTAGAGCTCCTCCAGATTTCCCCAATGGGTTGCACACAACATCAATGGCTGCCTTCCCCTTCACCTACAAGCAAAGAAATTTAGCGCAAGTCAAAATTACAAGTGGATATAGCTGCAACATTCTCATAAGAAGAATTCATCGCTGATCATAAAAACCATGAATAGAAAGAAGGTCATAATCAAATTTAACTTGAACAATCTTGACCATCTATATATGATTGCATAGTCAAGTTTGCACAAATATGATTGTAGCAGATAAAATTATAATATAACTAAAGAGTATAAAGACCATTAACATGAACAATTTTGACACTATATATGATTTAACTCAAATTAACTCTCAAAAATGTGTGTGGAAGTTCCATGACGTTTGTGCACAAATATGATTGTGGCAGATAAAAATCCAAACCTTGGTATCCTCATCCAAGGGTATGTAGGCCATTTCTTTGCAAGGATCAAATAAACTGTACTTAGCACTCTTGCTGAATATGTTCTGCATGGCACCCACGTATACAGCAGCTAGAAGTGGAGTCATTCCAAACTTTGCAATAACGGGAGCAACTGGGCCGCCAAATAATATGAGAGAGAAGAAACCAATTCCTGTCAAGAGCAGGACAGTGGGGGTGATCTTGGCAGCAACTCCCCATCCATATTTGTCAAATATAAATTGGCTGAGAAGCATCATTGTGAATGTAGCAATTCCAGTTGCAGTTGAAAAGTCTCCCATAAACGATGAGTACTCGTTGGGGCTAGGAAACTGCACAAGTTGCGGAGTTTGAGAGAAAGCACTGAACAAAATTCAGTAGTAAAACCAAAGACAAGAAAGGTTTACATTACCTGAGCTTTGAGCTTTGATTTCCACGTAACTTCAACAAGATTTATGCTAATTCCATACGCAACCACTAAAGTCGCAAGATCCCTTATATATTTTGAAGACACCAAGAACTTTATGCTCTCCATTGTTCCCATTTTGGGCTTCTCCTGGAAAAATCCATAACAAGGTAAACTGTTAGTTATTTCAAATATCAGTTAAAAAAATGGAATGGGACTCATATTTTCCAACACATTTAAAATAATGGGAATACCAATCACATTCATGCAAGAAATGAGTCAATCATACTAAAATAATCTTAATATCATGTTGAAAGCCAGTTTTTTTATATTAAAAAACTTCCTATACTATTTAACACCAAATACACATTAGAAAAAGAAAAATGAGGAATGCTATATTACTTATTTACTTTGCTTTCAGTTGTCTCAACAACTAAACTAGTAGACCAAAGAATAAAACAAAATATGGAAGCAGTGGAAAAAAGAGAATGAACATGCTTCAACCTGCCTAAGATAGAAAAAATATATGCATAACAGTAATACAGTATATCTGTCTGTCTCACAAAAAACTACCTTCTTCTTCTTGCTACGTGTAGGAAGTGGAACATAATTATTCACCCACCAATATATGAAACAGATTGCAAGTCCCATGCCCACAACTATGCTCATCATTCCTTTTAGAGAGATGGCCCAACCATCAACTCCAGGACCTAAATTCTTCCTTAGATTAGAAAAGTATTTTACTGTCCGACCAGAGAACACAAGGGCTACATTGGCCCCAAGTCCAAATAAAGGATAGAATCGTTTTGCTTCCTCAACAGTTGTTATCTGCAAAAAATCAAAAGAAATTTTAAAAATCAACATTAGCATTATCCTTCACAAAGCGCAGAAGAATCACACAGCATCATATTCATCTTTAAACTTTATATTCATTATGCTATAATTTTCATGAAATAGTTCAAAATGGAAAACATATTTAGAACATGACATTAGAGGATTCAACACCTTGCCCTGTCATCACATGATTCGCATCTTATCCGAATAAGATTTATTTGCATATTATCACAAGTAAAACAAAACATAACAATCACGAATTCAACAAGCAAAAATTGATAGAAAAATGCAGGTGACTCATCAAAAGCAGAGCGGCTAAGCTATAGAGAAAGAAGCAAAATACAAATGAACATGACCAAAACAAATAGATGAAAAGTAAAACAATCCAACAAACAATAGTCAATGATGATATCAAGAAGCGTGTTAAGGACACCATAATTAAAAATGATAACATGATAAAGACATCAACAAATTCTATAACAAAAATCAAACCACAAACCAAAACCCATCCAACAAAGTAGGCTCAAAGTTCAAACAATTGAACAACCTGATTGGCAAACCCCCAAAACAGCACAGAAATGACCACACTCCCCCACAATTCAGCCATGACATAGAACAAACAAAAGCTCCATATCCTCATAATTGCAAGAGGACCAAGAAACCGAGGCCCAAGGATGTTAAGAAGCTTATCCGCAAATGCCTCCGGGTGAATATAATTGCTGAGAGGGTACAGAACAAAACCAAAAGCCCCAAAGAAGGCAATGAAGGGAAGGATAATAGAATAAAAGAGAGCTTGTTTGGACAACACATTAGCCAACTTCGTGTACAACAGCATGAAGCCAATGGCCATGGGAAGGTTCACCCAAGTTTTGAGAAACGGTATAATCTCAGCACTGCTTCCTTTGGCTGTCACAACCAACACATCCTTTGTGTCTCTCAAGATGGTGTAGTTAAAGAGGATGCAAAAGAACATCATCCCCAGAGGCACAATCTTCTTCAAGGTAGCAACTTCAACACCCAACAACTTCGGTTTATCAGATTCTGGTTCCCCAAAGGAGGCTGCAGCTGCTGCAGCCTCAGCCCTGCACAGGAACAAATTTTGATTTTTGTCCCTTTGGGCAAAGACATTGGGTTTGGGTGATAGTTTTTGGAACCTATTGGATGAAAGAGAAGAGGCAACAAGGATTTTTGGCTTTGGTGAGAAAAGCCTGTGCCTTAAACCCTGGGAGGGGTGTAGGTGTGATACTTTGTTTATGGGGTTTATGGGAGGAAGAGAGAGAAGGCCTCTGGTTTGAAGAACAACGTCCATGACTCTCTCTCTCTCTCAGTTCCCTGGCAGAGTTGAAGCAAGAACCAAGAGAGAGGGATAAAGAGAGATAAGGTGGCTGCAGCGGAGAGCAGAGAAGAAGGAGAAGTTTATATGTATCTTTCTTGGAGGAATGAAAGGGCAGCAGATACTAATAAAATATCTTTTTCTCAGTTGTCCGATGATGACAACAAAAGTAAAATACAACCTTTGATTTTTATGTGCAAAGGAAAAAAAG